ACACGGAATTGCTTCCATTTTACGCTTGTCTTCTGTTTGGTCGTGGTATTACACCGGGCGTGCCGGCCCTGCAGTGCTAAGATGTTAAAGGCACTACCACCGTTACACTTTAGGAAAAATTGCCTTGTTCATTGCAATAAGACAAACTCTGTTTACAAATAACTAGTTAGATATCAGTAAGTCCAAACAGAGGGTTAATAATAAAAAAGAAATTATCTGTGTAACACCAACCGACTTTTTTTGGTACAGACACATTTATAAGCTGTGTTGTATTGTTCCGCAACTTGTTTCAAAATGTTCAAATGATTGTAGCTTTTATAGTGGAACCGCCAGTTTACCTGACTGTACTAATAGACTACAGTCAGGTAAACGGTGTTGCAGCATCAATATTCCTTTGGCTCATTAACTACGATAACCCTTGATTAAGGAGTCAATTATAAGTAACCTTACGAAAATATAATTAAATAGCAAAGCCATTGTATAAAATGAAATTACAAGAAAATTAAACTTATTATTTACTAGCTGTTCCCATGCGACTTCATCTGCATAAAATTATGAAAATTTTATTTTAATGTTTTACATTTGTCAAGTTATCAATAGTAAATGTCAAAATGACATGACATGACAAATCTTGACAATCTTGCTTCCTTGATGTTGGCAGCAACTTATGGTCTCTTTTCCACAATAGGATTTTATCCAAACTATTTACCCCCTAAGTTTAATGGGGTAAAAATATATAGCCTAAAGTGTGACGCAAGTGTAGGGCTTTTTATTAAAGAAAGAATTATTTAATAATATGCTGTAATTGCTGACATCTTAGGCAACAAAAAAGTGTGTGTTTACGCTTTATTATAATAGTATAGAAGTATAGACAAGCTTTTGCCCGCAACCCATTTGGATGGAATTAAAAAAAAAAATGAGTAGCCTATGTGTTCTTCCAGACTATCCTCTGCATCCATACCATATTAATATTAATTTCTAAAACTATGCTAACCTGAAATCAATCCTCTATAAGGACAACCTAACTCTTTAAGAAAAGAACTCAATTCCAACATAAAAGAGCTTGTTTCATCCAAACTGTTTATCTTATTAACAGATTCCTCCACTTTGCATAATGTTTTTAATTCTTCGGCCAATTCACATACAAGTTTGATAAAGTCCAAGGACTTGAGGCCTTCATCTACGGCTTTTGAGAATGCATCTGGATCTGATAGAGGACCATCATATCTAGAACAAAAAAAAAAAGTATTGTTATAGATTATCTATTGATAATTATGCTATCTGTTTAGTAATTTCCTTTTAAAGAATACAGAGTAAAGCAAACTATTGTCTATATTTAACATTAGCTGTTGCTTGCAACTGTATGCACAAGAAATGTTATAATATAGCCTATGTTACTACTCGGCAATAACATAGCTTTTTAATGGTGAAAGAATTTTTGAAATCAGTCTCTTTATTTTTGAGTTACTTCAATACAAATCTTTACTGTTTATAATATTATATATTTATTATATATAGGTACACTAGCTTTTGTCCTCAATTTTGTAAAAACTTAGTAAGTAGCATGCAACTTCCAGATTATTTTTTACATCTGTAGTGAATTCCTTCAAGATTTTTAAAATGACATTGGAGACAGTCAAAAGCATAAATGTGAGCTTTTGCATTAATAATTTCAGCGTAATTTCAAAAATCATTTAAATATCTGGGTTTATCTTATTGACATTGTAAATGTGAAAGTTTCAATGGATATTTGTTCAGTTCATAGTCAAAATAGCTGATCTGATCTTGATGAAATTTGAAATTTTTGTTTTTTTATTCCATTCAAACACAGTATTGTAAGCCAGTATTAAAATATAAGGAAAAATGAATCTGTTAATTAACAGAATCAGAATTGCATAATAATTATTAACTCTTCTTATGGATATTGGATTTCACCATATTTTGAGAAATCACATTGAGTTGCAATTCTGTATTATTCCTGGTTCATGATTGAGACATTGATATCAACTCACTGGGGCCAGTTAGTGCCAGTTAGGGCCAGTTACTCATTAAGCCAGTGGATTGCCACTACTTTATTGAGTCCCACTATTCAACTGTACTGGCCAAATATGACCCAGGCTTTACTTTCAGTAGTATAATAGAGTAAATATTATACATTTCTTCACATAAAAGTTCACAAAGAATGAATAAATAATAATTTCATACGAAGGTTATAAAGAAAGTTTATATTTAATAATATAATGTTATAGGCACATTGTAGACTTGTAAATAATAAAAGTGTACGTAAATTATACATTTTTATGGCATTACTGGCAGCTTTCAGCGTAAAGACAAACTAGATTCTTGTTTCTTTCAAGACATTTCTCGGAACATATGAATTATTTTCTTATTGATATGCTTATAAAAATTATGGTGATACTCACCCTAAGTCACCCAGTGAGTCAAATATATCGTTCTCCATATTTAAATTATAAACTTAGTTTACTTAACAATATCTTTTTCTAGATGCTTAGCAATAAAAATTAACCAACACACCAGACACCGGCTGGCAAAAAAATTGAGTTGTCAATGTCAAATCAGACAAAAGACAAATCAATAAACCATAACCAACAGATATAGATTATCAAATATGAGGCCAGTGATATTTGTTCAATGTAGAAAATTAAGAAAGTTTTCTAAATCAAATAACTTGTAAGACGAATTTAAATTGATTATTCCAACTTATTTTATAAAACTAAATTCATTTTTTTCATTAGGTGAAAACATTTAGTATTTCAGTTTTAAAAATTCAGATTCCATTTTCTCCCTAACCTAGCATGCCAATGATGATGAAATTTGGAATACAAATATACACCCAGCAAATAATATGAAAAGTGTTCTAAATGTACTACTCCTCGTAGTCTACCATCTTTCGAAATTAAACAAGCAAAAGTAACCTTGTGCAGACTCCGTTGTACATTTGAGACTTATTTTACAAATATTCATTGAGCCTTTCTGAGATAGCTCATCCATCCATCCTTTTACATAATATTAGTGCACTGGTCACATTTAGGGGTTATAAAAAGTCAGTTATTTTTCACAAAATTTTTAATGCAGTAACAATAGTGTGTAACATATATAAAAAACCAAAAGTACACAATGGCGCAGCCGGTGTGGGCATGTACGCATCCTAAATGCAATTCTCGTGCGCAAAATAAATTTTATCTCGTGCTTTTATATATTACGTAAGACACATTGTGGCTAATCACAGATTTAAAAATTGTGAGAGAAAAAAAACCACCTTTGTCTATTAAAAATAAACCCTGGAAAATCAATCTTAAAATGAAAGTTACATAACATACATATTCATTTTATGTCTATTATATTTGAAAATTAACTTATTGATAAATATTTAAAGAGAAAAAAAAAATACATAGATTAAAACTTTACTGTATAGAGGACGAAATAAAAGTTACTTTAGATGCTAGTTATTCTTTCATATATTATGTATCATATATTAAATCCGACTGCGGTGTCCGGGTGGACAGGGCAGCGGCGTACAGCCCTCGGTAACTGTTTACTTGTGCTTGAGAATTGTGTTCTTGAGTTTGTCAACGTTAGCTCCGGAGAATTCTTCAAGTTTCTTGGAACTCTTAACAAATACAAAGGTCGGCATTGAGTTGATGTTATATTCGGTCGCAATGTCCTCACATTCGTCAACGTCCACCTGGAATACATAGTTCAAAAATTAGTAAACAACTTAAGGAGTTTCTATGGTGGGAAATATATTCTCTATTGGTCCGACTCTATTCTCTATTGCTTGCTCTTCACCTGCCTGGCCTATTCTATTCTTGTAATTATATACAATAATTTATTTTTGGTAGTACTCCAAATATAAAACTTTGCGTAAATCAGGTTTTAGTTACTCTTTTTACAAAAAATAAAGTTTTTATATTTATTACAAAAAAGTATTTTTTACTTATAACAAAAATCTAATTTTACTTTTTATGAAAATCAATGAAAAAGATATTATAAACAGGAAAGATTTGTATTTTTGTATGTATTGAAATAACTTAACTTCTGGGCCAATTTTAAAAATTCTTTCACTGTTAGATAGGCAATTTATCTGTGAGTAGCATATTCAAATAAATGTGTCTGTTGCTAGGAGAATTTAATGTAGAATAAAATTGTCCTTTACAGTTTTTAAATTGGACTAATAGTTTAGAAGATATTGTGAACACAAACAATAAGGGTAACTGAAAAATCAGGTCACAAGCTACCGGGCTTAGAAATTTGGAATCTGGCATCAATAGATTTCTGTTATTACGTAGATTGCTATTTTATACTTTAGGTGCTAGGTTGAAAAAAGGGTCGAACGTAAGTTTTGAACTTTGAAACTATACATAGGCAAAGTCATGGGCAACATCTACTGACTTATGAAGGGGTAATAAAACAGTATAAAACTTTTATGGTGTGTGGCGGTAGGTTAGTTTACTTTTTAATCTACTAAGTCACTTTATCTACTAATCACTTTAAACTGAACCAAGGACCTTTAATTAAATCCACTCATATTCGTTACATTTCCTAATCATTAAATTAAAACCATACTAATATTATAAATGCGAAAATTTCAATGTTTAACATATCTCCATAACTTAAAGAATCTTAATGAAATTTGTCAATGTAGAACAAAATCTGAAAGACGTAGTTACGTAGTTTTTTTTAATAAAGCGACGATATTCGCGAGCAAAAGCTAGTCTTACTATGACTAAAAACAATTTGAGTGTAATTTAAAAACAGTTTTCCTTTATGAGATATAAAACGGGGTAAACCCTGTTACCAATATCCCTTTTTCGTTTTATAAAATCAACTTGAATTTCAACGAACGATTTTCTGACACAGCTAAATGTGTTACAAGTGTCACAATTCAGTACAAAACAAATTTATTACCATTTTTTTTAATTCCTAGTACATTGTTTTTCTTTAATAAAGCGTGTCATGCACATTTTCACTTAAAATGCATTGTAAATTTACCAATGAGTTACTGAACGGAATCAGTTAACTTGTTTTGGCCTCGACCCTGAAGTGGCCTCCATTAAGTGATAAAAAACATTACTTATTATCCATTCAAAATGAAGGTGGCCATTACTGAGTCTTATCATTCTCAAATTTAAAATGAAACTAATTATATCTAACTAATATTATAAATGCGAAATTTTAGATGGATGGATGGATAGCATTTTAGAAGTTTTGATGGATACTACAAATACTAACATATGTCCATATGTTAGTATTTGCCTAAACGGCTGAACGGCTCTGGATGAAATTTGGCATACATGTAGAGCAGAGCATGGAAGAACACATAGGCTGCTATTTATACCAGGAATAGTTACGGTTCCCGTGGGATTCATTAATTTAGTTTTTTAATGTATACCCGATCATTCAGCAATGGTTCAACATATCTTATTGAAATTTGGGACAGATATAAAACAAAGTCTAGAGTACACATGGGATAAGGTTCATTCCAAGAAATGTCCGGTTCCCGAGGGATACGTATCTTTTTGTTATTTATATAGTTTGTATGTGTTCTAATACCACATAGACGAAGTCGCGGGCAACAGCTAGTAAATTAATAAGTATTGGGATATTTAATTTACGCACATCTATGCACATTTTTTTTTTTCAAGATTATACATTGAATAGATAGAATTTACATAGTAAATTCCTGTTTTTATTTCCTGTGACGGCGCTGCCTTAACTTGTCTACTAATTATTAAAGAACTTACCTTCAGCACAACAATAGAGTCAGCCATTTCAGTGGCCATCTCATCTAGTTTGGGCCCAATCATCTTGCAGGGCCCGCACCAGGTGGCCATGAAGTCAATCACCACCAGCTTATCACCAGCCTCCGACAGCCTGGTCTTCAGGTCCTCAGAGTCCTTGATGTGGATCGACATTTTACCTGGAGACAAAGATTCAGCTTAATAAATTGACGAGACATTGTTAGTTGTTATCTGCTTTTTTGCAATCCAAAGCCGAAATATCTTGGCGGCCATTTTGGTTTATGGATTTTTAAGTTATTTTGAGAAAATTATGTTTAAAAACAAAGTTGTACCAAAAATAATAACTAATATTATCTAGTTATTTAATACAATGTTTTTTCTAAAAATATGTGAATATACGAGTTTTAGAGAAAACTGTGCATTTTTTTCTAGTGTCTGGTGATAAGGAACTAAACATTATTATAATTGTGAAGGAATAGTAAATAATTTCAGTATCTCTTTAAAAAACAGTGTCATCAAGGCTCTGATTAACGATACGTGAAGGTTGAACTCTGGTTGAAATAAGATCCTATAAGGACATTAATAAAATAACAAGTCTCATGTACCAAGGCAAGGTCAAACCATGTAAACAAAAGGTACATCTTAATTTTCAAGCATCTTACTAATATTATAAATACGAAAGTTTAGATGGATGGATGTTTGTTAGAGTTTGTGGCCTAAACGGTTAAAGGGATCTCGATGAAATTTGGCATAGATGTATAGTATGGAAGAACACGTAGGCTACTCGATTTTGTTTTTTTTTATTCCACGCGGACGAATTCGCGCGCGTTAGCTAGTAATATTATAAATTCCAAAATTACACTACATATCTATTTCAATATTGCCTTCTCTTTCGTCATCTTCCTGTCCTTATCCAATATCGATCTTATCTTGTGATTTCAGTCACTCCCTTTCTAATTACGTCACCTTTCACGCAATCCATCCATCTCTTTCTATCCCTACCTTTATGGATGACCTTTGACATTCCTTAATGAAACCTCTAGGCCAGATTTTCATGATCGATAACCACCCTTGGGGGCGATGGCGACCGGAAATTAAGTCCTTGAATGGAAATTAAGGGCCTAAGAAAAATTGGGAAGGGCGCTTATGATAATTAATTTTGGAAAAATATATTCTTAATTATAAAGTTACATTATAATTGCTCTTATACGTCAAAAGAGTATAATTAAAATATAATGTCCACTCCAGGCAAGGCATGTTTTATTGAGGTTTTGGAAGTGAAAACGGAAGGCGCTACAAAATAACTGATATTCGAAATGTTACACGAATTAAGTTTGGAAACCACCGCTTTAGGGTAGGCCCTACGGCATAGGTGTCGTTTGAATATGACGTCATATCCACAAATCGTTTTATATTCAAATCTTCATTGTAATGTTTTCTCAGACAAATTAGTCATCGTTAAATTAAATACAGACAATGACTTCGCACTTAAATAAATATCACGATTATTATTTAACCCTAGCTATGGCTCGCGACTTCATCCGCGCGTAATGTTGGATGGATGTTTGTTAGATTTTGTAACCTAAATTGAACGGATTTAGATGAAATTTGGTATAGACGTAGAGGACAGTGTGGAAAAACACGTAGGCTATTCATTTTTTTTAATTCCACGCGGACGGAGTAGCGGGCGAAAGCTAGTGAAAATAAAAACTAACAATAAACTTAACACATGTTACCGATATTGTAGTTTTCTAATGGCAAAGGATTTGTATAATCATTGACAGCTAAAGAGTTGGTTCCCAAATATTTTTTTACTTACGAAGCTAATAAATATGCCCATGCATGTTGTTTATAATGTTTTGATTTGTTAAATTCATGTAGACTTTGGGTTTTTTACTGAAACGACACAAACCTTTGCATTTTCGACCCTGAAGCATTGAACGAACCCTCATATTGTAATTTGCAGAAAATTAAAAGTTAAAAAAGCACAAAATGTATAAACGATAACGTAAACTGTAAATTTGATTATAATTAAACTAAAAATTTAAATTTCTAGGAAAATCTTATTTGAAGGAAAAAGTCCGACAAATCACTTTGACAACCAATTTTGACATACAAAAGAACAAAAAATCCGTTTAAAAAAAAAGACTTTTTAATTAAAAAGAAATGTAACAAATAAAATTATACACATCAAATAATAACTCACCTTAAAATAAATGTTTAAATATATCTTAAATACACTACAAATTTATGCTCTTTGGTATTTTCGCACAAACAGCCAACAACACGGCTATTGAATGACTGTTTATGTAAATGTTCAGAAACTCGTTATAAAACTATTCGCTTCCCTGTCTTACTCATTCGCTGACGTCATTTGTGTTTTTCAATCCTGACATTCATGAGGAAATAGGAACAACTAGCCCTTGACTCCGTCCGCGTGGAAATAAAAAAAAACAAAAGTAAGCCTATGTGTTCTTCTAGACTATTTTGTCTGTGCCAAATTTCATCAAAATCCGTCTAGCCGTTTAGGCTAAAAACTCTAACAAGCATCCATCCGTTCATCTAAACTGTCGCATTTATAATATTAGTATGAAGTATGATGATAACACAATAAAAAAAAGTTTTAAAAAAGGTTAAGCTTTTGAATTGCAGTTAACCTAAATGCGGGTTTCCACTGCTTGTTATGCAACATGAAAAGTTTCGCTACATCTCCCATATTCTTTGACAATTGTACACAAGCGTTACCTCTAACTGTGCATTTTTAAAAAGAAAATAGCAAATGTTTTTTTGTATGGATATTTCTTAATTAACTCCATAACTATTGTATGGATGTTCACATTTTAATGCAGTCTACAAAACAGCACATAGCTTATATATATCGACAACTAGAAGCCTGGGTAATGTTACGGTAAGAATCCCATACAATATTGATTAATGTAACTCGAGCTAAGTAGGTCGACTTACGTCATCGCAAGTAAGACATATCAATGTAGAATCGATGCAATTGGAAATAAAACAATAATAAATCATTTGTTACACACACATAGAGTGGACTTACATTGTCGTGACACTTAAAGTCTTGCCTCGATTACGTCATCACGGAATTTCAAATAGGAACCTATAATATTGACATTACATCGAAAGTCTCGCAAACATCAGTTCAGCCGTTTCGTAGATTACCCTACACTAGGGGTGGCAAAAATTTATGCATCAAAGTGGCATTTAAAATTTTTTTAATGCAGTCTTAGACGTGGCATCGAATAATTTTGACTGCGATTATTACGTCAAGTCCATAATGCACTTGCTTCATAATCATTTCATTCAAAATATTATGTAATTTGCCCTTTGTGGTATAATATTATAAAAATAGTTTATTAATTTCCCCTTGGGCAGGGGACTGATGTCCATACTAGGGTGGTCCCTGTGTAATGGATCACCAAGCCCCCGCCCCACAGACCAAAGTGAATCTTACAACCAAACTTAAAAACAAACACATATTTATTACTTAGTAAAAATGAAGAAGAAATTAGAGCTATAAGTATGTTAGGTGTTGGTGTGTAATGTGTAGTGTTTAGTGTGTAGTGAGTAGTGGAAATGAGTCTTTTTTTATTAAGATTATCTATCCTAACATTATACAGAGACATGACATTATTATGACAGAGATTTGGAAAGAAAAGAAAGCCTTTAAGAATTAGCAGCCATGGATAAGAATGATAAAGATTTAAAAGAGAAGTATATAAGTGTAAGCGATTTGCAAAACAAATATGAATCCCTGGACAGCCTGCCGGGACAAAAACATCTGTTCCATATAGCAAGAGAGAGAGAAAGAAGTGGAAGAAAGATAAACAATATTAGATGCATAAAAGATGATGTAGGAAAGGTGATAAATGATATTAAAAATTTTGAAAAACCTGATGAATGAAGAGAATGTTTGCGCTAAAGAAGTTTGCGGGTAACAGCTCATACTTTAAATAAAACTTGACTGTAAAATATGTGGTTTTATAGCCCTCAATTGTCACTGAATACTATATTTCATGTGGAAAGATATAAGTTGAGTGTATAATGATAGTAAAACATTTACCATGCCACCGAGATATGCCTTATCATGTGTTAAATGATAACAGACAAACCGCAACCAGCTTTAATGATACTATTCCTCTGTGACTTCATCCATATATTATAAAAAACTTTATTTGAATGTTTACATGTCACAAAACATTACAAATGACAAAGGCCTTTACCTTCCCATATAACATTTTTATTCAATTTATTTACTGCTGAGTTTAAAATTGTGAAAACATATCATCTATGGTGTGTGTAAAGAGTAGGGATTTTTTTAAAGGGTTATTTAAAATTTTGCTTTTAGTACTGACAGTCAACATAAGAACGAAGTGTATGTTTATGAGGTAGTTACTTATTTAACTAAGTAAACTTATTAAAACTTTTGTGAGACATTATACTATATGATTTTTAACACGGCTAAATCTCATGTGGGAACTTTCGGTGTAGGCACTGACCAGTTTAAAACCTGTAGGGGGTCCTTCTTCAGGGTGTGGTTGCCGGCTTTATTCGCCATCGCGTCGCGACGGTCAAGTGACCGTATATAACATATAAGTATATAATTTCTAATCTTACTAATATTACAAATGCGAAAGTTTAGATGGATGGATGGATGTTTTTCGGACGGATTTCAATGAAATTTGGTATAGTTGTGGAGGATAGTCTGGAAGAACACATAGGCTATTCACTTTTGTTTTTTTTTAATCCCACGCGGACGGAGTCGCGGGAGAAAGCTAGTAACATATAAATATATAATTTCTAATAGGATACAATAGCTTAAACATCCTTATAATATTTCAACTTAGTTTTCATATTAGAATAAATGGATCAGCAATAATTCAGGAATGCATTTTTTTATCACTTATCCAAGTTCGATTGTGTTACTCATATTTTATTCTGCTCCAAAAGTTATTAGTTCAACTCAAGGAAAAACGCCGCTAGCTATCATTAGAATACCTAGAAATAAAGATCAAAACATCGAGTCTATAAAAAAAATATGACTCACAAATACCTAGACACTGTATACAAGCAACACCATAGTATAATAGTATGTTTTATTGCCTTGAAGTACGACGTATTCTAACTGGTTACTTACTATGCGTTTACACCATAATTACCGACCATGACGTAAGTACGACGTACCTACTCGACAAGATTACAATTATTAAATACATTCAAACCATATTAGCACTTTTCCTTACCGTCAAAAATAACTTTGTATGAATGATTATACAAGAATTGACAATATATGACATTGATATGCTGTTAAAATCAACATCAAATAGTACAATAAGAAAAAATCAATCGATCTAGAACCAGAAAGTGCAAGGTCATATTACATGTATAGGTAATAATTACACCAAGAATGCATTTAACAGTTGAATGTGAAGTATGTAATGAATCATAATAAACTAAATAATTACTTACTTTTTGTGAAGATTTCTCGAATAACAACTAAAACCGGTGTAACACGCGGCGACTGACACAAATCACAATCAAGCAAGTGAAAATGAAAAATAACGCTAACATACCGGTGCTGCCAATAAAAAAATATTTTCTGCTGATTCTAATTGCAATATAAATCGAAGCAAGAGATTCATTTTGCAATAATAAAGTAAATTACATACCTATATATTCCAAAGTCGAATTACAAATAGCTATTTCTTCAAATTAAATTTAATATAATCTACCCAGGTATTATGCTCTTTATTGTTTAGAATTTGACATTGACAGCATTAATCTACATAATCTTTGTTGACATATTGTCAGTTTTCTTCAGTTTCCGTATCCGAAAACGTATTTTTCTAAGCTGTCAGTTAATTTTTATTATATAAAATTCATAAAATATTTGTTTTCATCAAATTGAGGAGTATAAGCGTATCAATTGACCCTAAAAGTAAAATAATACAAATATGTCTGTCGATATTAACGCTATTGGATCGCATAAGATAAGAAGTGTTCCAGGAGGAGAGGTAATGTTATTTTATTAATTTAATTTTGTTTCGTTTTGGTTTCATTTGTTTATGTGTAATTTGCGGCATTCTATAAATTTATTAGATTAAATTTGTTACAATGCCTTTATATTTGTGTTACAAATATTATTTGTAATTTGTATTACGCAGATCAAAAACCGGTCGTAATGAAAGTAAAGTCGGAAGCGATTTAAATTTATCAATCGAAGTATGATTTTATGTAATAATGTTTACGATACATTTTACATTATAAAACAAAGATTTAATGAGCTGTAGTATTGACTACACTGTACTAATAATTGTATTACGATTTTTGTACTGAAAATTTTAATGATATTTGGGGATTTTCTGTAGAATTGATTCATCAAAACTTTATAAACATTTATTTATGTTTTATTTTATTTATTTATGTTTACAAAGCTATAAAGATGCACTTTAAACTTTGTATTTATTTAATCTTTATTAAGCAATACATTTATCAGAATATATGATAAGATATATTTTTATCATATTGGAAATTTTTAAATGTGATAGATGATTGTTAACAATATTGATAAAAATCATGACATATGTACATCTCTATTCTTGTGGCTTAAGCATATCCTATATCCAAAAAATTAAAAACATCAGAACCCATTACTACTACAATACTAGCTTTTACCTGCGACTCCAACCATGCGGAATTATAAAAACGAATAAAAGAATGTAGCATGTGTGTTCTTCCAGACTATCCTGTACCAAATTTCATCTATATCTGTTCATCCATTTAGGCTACAAACTCAAACAAATAATCATCTATTTAAACATTCATATATTATAATATTAGTATGATAGTATGAGATGGGTAGATAGACATAGTGTGGAAGAACACTTATGCTTTATTTTAATAATATGAGGTGGAAAACGAGTAAGTGACCACCTACTCTGCTACCTACCTACCTAAATCTGCCAAAATACCCAAGCGATTGCAGCTCATAGACATCAGCAATATAAATGGGTTGCCTACCCTTAATAAACAGAGAAGATGCACCTAAAGACAATATTTCCCCTTTCTCCTTCGCCGTCAAATCCACTTTACCTTCCCATTTATACCTTATAAGAAAAGGGTGGTAAGAGAAGGGACTTTAATTAGGTCTCCAGTACCACACTCATTAGACAAAATGCGGCTACTTATTTTTTTTTTAAATTATAACAACAATATTTGTTTTTTTCAGCAAGTGGAACTAAAGACCTTCTGGCAAGATCAGGATGCTGTGGTCATCTTCTTCCGGCGCTGGGGCTGTATGCTGTGTAGACTATGGGCTAAGGAGGTGAGGCTTTTCTTCTCATTACTCAAGTCACTGTATGTAATACATTATGGTATACAATTCCTGGGTAATGTGTTACTTCCAAAATTGCCCAGAAATGTCAAAAGAATTCTGTTAGACATTTTTTGTGAGATATCTATACATTTACTAAATACCAAATGGTTATAAAACAATAGATGATGCTACGACTTTGTCCATGAAATAAAAAAAAATAGGCTAGGCTATGTTACTCAGTGATAATGTAGCTTTTTAAAGGTGAAGGATTTTTTTAAATCAACCCAGTAGTTTTTGAGTTATTTCAATACATACAAAAAAACAAATCTATCCTCTTTATGATATTAGTGATACTTAGAAATGAAAAAAATATTTTCTTTCTGTTTATCCCCTCTTTCATCAATTAAGGGTAATTCATCTGTTATTGCAGATGTCAGAATTCTCTTCGCTATTTCGGCGAAAGAAATACATGGTTTGTTTGTTACAATAAGACATATATTTTATGTTTTAAAGCGTATATTTACAAGGTCAGAACAATTTTATATACTTCATGTTAATTCTCAGTACAATAATTGCAGTGTTGAATAATGAGTTTATTCATGCAATCAGATAATTATACCTATTCTATAACAGAGTTTCCCAAACTTTTGGGTTGTAGACCCCTTGCTATGTTTTTCCGTGTTGAGTAGACCCCGATTACCCAATGTTGATTTCCTGTTAATTTCTAACTGTAGTCAAGTTTAGTGTTGAAAACTTGAAATAAAAACACATGTTAATTTATACATTTATTATTTAAATTTAAATTAAAACTACTCAAATTTAATCATGTCTATATTTTGGTATAAGATAGTGTGATGTAACTATCAGTGTATGTGTTGAAATCCACTATCGTGGACCCCCATTTTCATTTCATGTACCCCCAATTTTTTTTCACTGACTTTAACCCCTTGCAGGTTGTCAAAGACCCCTAGGGGTCGATATAGACCACTTTGGGAATCACTGTTCTAGAATAAGTCAATTGTAATAATTTCTAACTTCCTATAAGATGAAGTTATAATGCAAATTACTATGTGTCACAGATAGATTGTAAACTTTGTCAGTTTGTAATGTTACTAGACATTATAAAATAACATTGACTTTTCAGTCATTTTATATTATGCCTGAATATGAATCTGAGATAAGATAGATGTGTAGGTAAATTTTTATTTCTGACAAGACTGAAAAGATATAATTATAAATTAATATAGGAAAAATTTTGTGCAAATCAATAGCATTACTTAATATACAAATTTAGCCTTGGCAAGTAACATTGAGGCTATATAGGATAACATAGGCTATTATTTTGATACCAAGTGAATGTAGTCGCGGCGTACAGCTAGTCTTTTTTAAATAAATAACATCATGATATGAAGTGTTTTTAGACTATGTATTCATGTAATGTGCAAAAAAATAAATAAATGCAAGATTTAGTTATGCATGCAGTTTATCTCTTTGTTATATTTCAGTTTCTCATGATAAAAATATTTCAATATAAGCAAATTACATTCAGTTGTATAAAAATAAAACTATTATAATGAGGGAATATTTTTATTTTTAATAATTGCATATTATGTGACAAGACGATGGGGACATAAACCAGAATGTGTTAATATTTAATGTAGATGACTACAAAGGTAGAGGAAGACTGAAGAAAATATGCCTAGATTGTGTGAAAGAAAAGCTTAAGAAAGGAGTGGATTCAGATATGACGGCTGATAGAGATGTATGGAAGAGCACATACTGTGCCAACCCTCCGTAAGGGATAAGGGCAAGTTGATGATGTTACAAATAAACTCTAACATACTAACTTTGTACTACAAATTTGTTACTAAGTTTAACGTTATACCGCGTTTATTTGTAAAGCTGAAACTACTGGACAGATTTCTTTACCATTAGAAAGCTTTTACCATTAGAAAGCTTAATAATCTAAGGGACATAGGCTATATTTATAACTGTTGCTAAGTGCTTGAAAAATGAATGTTTTGTATCCCTAATGTGTTATTTCAATTGAGAATAATTTTTTTGTTGAAATATGTTTTTCAGTTGAGCGAGATTGCACCAGTTTTGAAGAAAAACAACATAAAACTGGTGGGAATTGGTGTTGAAAATGCTGGTTCTAAGGATTTTATGGAGGGAAAATATTTTGATGGCGGTAAGTTGGCCCAAGTATTATTGTAAAAATATTGTACAGTATTTTTAACTGTTCGGCCATAATCTATACTAATATTATAAAGAGAAAAGATTTGTATTTTTGTATGTATTGAAATAACTCAAAAACTATGGACTGATTAAAAAAATTCTTTCACCATTAAAAAGCTATGTTATCCCTGAGTAAAACAGGCTATTTTTTTTTTAATATTACGCAGGCGATGTCGCAAGCAATAGCTAGTACTTTAATAAATACTACATGATACAAAAATAATTAAATAAGATAAAACTTCTCTTATCTTTTCTGTCATATCCATACCCTTCCTATTGATCTATACTAATATTATAAGAGAAAAGATTTGTATTTTTGTATGTATTGAAATAACTCAAACTACTGGACGGATACAAAAAATTATTTCATCATTAAAGCTATATTATCTGGGAATAACATTGGCTACATTTTTAATTTTTAAACTTCACGCGGAAGTTACAAGCTAACAAGTAATTTAAAATATAGCCTAAGTTACAGATAATGTAGCTTGATGAATAAATTTTGATTTTTTAAAAATATTTCTGGAGCTTATTTCTAAGCGTAGATATGTCTGTATTTATCATATCTTTATTTTCTTATTCTTATATATAATATATTTCACATGATTTTCTTAAAAAAAATAACAAAATAAAATATGTTATATAAAAAAATAGAAGTCCACCGGCTGCGGAATCCGATGACTCAAGCTACCAGTGGTCAGGGCTGCAGAGACAGGAACCTCCTCACTATGCGTGCGGTTTCTAAAATAACCGCCTTTTAAATCGGGCCCTTACATCCAACTGTTATTATTATTAATAATTACTCATTTATGTTAATTTCAGAGTTATATCATGTGGAAGATATCTCAACATACAATACTTTGGGCTTTAAAAGATTCAACGTCGTGTCAATTATAACATCCTTATTCTGGAAACAATCCAGGGAAGCGATTGCGAAAGGAAGGGGAATGGGTAAAGTATAAATAATTTTTATAAATATAAATGCGATAGTTTGGATGGATTTGGATTGTTTTACTTACAAGAATGTCCCCAACGGATATCTACTTGTAAAAATGTGTGATTTTAAGGGCATCTCCCACAACTGACTGATAGAGGCTCAGATAGCTTAAAAATGACGTCACTGTCAGACAAGGGAACAAAATCCGATATTTCCATCACATTTTACACGTTGGATTGTTATCAGACAATTTACAATTTGGTGGGACGGGCCAAATACAAAATTTATTTATTTATTATTGATATTAGAGTTTGGAGCCTAACTGCTGAATGGATTTCAATGAAATTTTTCATAAATTTAGAGGATAGTCTGTAACATATAGGCTACTTACTTTTTAAATTACACTCGGCCAGAGTCCGAGGCGTAAGCTAGTTTATATTACTGTTAAATTGTTAGTATTAGTTTAGTTTGATTTTTCAGATTTTTTAATTAATATTTGGTTATTAATAATATCAATAGAGTTTTATAGTTATTATCAATAAAATGCAAATATAATATAGGTTTGCACAGCGATCTAATTGGCGACAGTTTACAAAATGGCGGCTGCTTGTTGATTCAAAATGGCGGCAAATCGCGTCACTTCGTGCAACTCGGTCCCGCGGATATGTTACCAAATGTGGACATTCTAGAGGTTTCTGTATTTGTAAATTTTCTAATTAGGTCTAGGTGGAGATTACAAAGGTGATTGGGTGCAAACGGGGGGCGCGTTGTTAGTTGGAAAGGGCGGGAATGTCCGCCATTTTGTGCAGACGGGACCGGGGGATCATTTGGATAATAAGGAGATATTGAAGGTGGGTTTAGATGATTTTTTATAAATAAAACACTATTTATTGACAAAAAAATTACAAAATCGTTAATGAAATTAAAAAAAAAAGTCTTAGATAGGTCTGCTTTTAATTAGGTATGCATGCTTTTGAGAAGTATACTTATTGGGTGTTACAGGAATTATAGTCTGAGGCATAGCACGAAAATTTGTGAAAAAGTGTTATAAGTTTAAAAGGGATTGGTGTTAGATTATCGAAAATGTAAAACTACCTCTAGATCTAAATTATTCCTTGGTGACGCATTATTTGTATTTAATTATATATTCGAATATAAGAAAATAATTGTATTCGTAACCAACAATAAAGTTGGTATAATTTACTTCCGATTTGACGCTACTAAAATGTCTTATATTGTCGATGCTTTCTTGTAAAATTTCGTGCTATATCCTCTGCGTTAGATAATGTCAAACTTGTTGACATGATTTTATTTTAATTCTAACTTGAATTTAAAATTACATTCTTGTTTTGTTTTAATGAATGTTTTTTTTTCAGCATTTCAATTTAGAAGCAGAATACAAAGAAGAGACGATGGCAAATAAAGTCCGTGATAATATTGAATGTAATGTACGTAGATAATTATATTAACACTAGCTGTTCGCGGGCGGCTTTACCCGCACGAAATAATAAATTTATTGTTTGTTTGTCAAATTCTCAATTGCAAATGTCAAAATACCAATTACTTTACTATGGCAATCTTGCTTCCTTATGGTCAACTTATGGCCTCTTTCCCACATTAGGGTTTTTATCCAAAATATTTACACTCTAAGTTTAATGGTGTGAAAATATATTGCCTAAAGCGTGACATAAGTGTAGGGCTTTTTATTAAAGAAAGAATTATTCAAAAATATGCTGTAATTGCCCACATCTTGGGCAACAAAGAAGTGTTTTTACGCTTTATTATAATAGTATAGATAAGCTATAACTTCTTAAAAAGTCTTTTGTATGGAAACTTATTACCGACGTACAGTCGCGGTAATCTGCAGTGATACACTTACAGAAAAGCTTTCATTCTTGCAAAATGTCTTTTATTTTTTTTTGTCACAAAAGAGTTTTACACTTTTTAAATTTCCAGACAGAAGCAACGTGATAAGCCAAGTATCAAGAATTTCCTTCCATTTGAGCCGATTCATGTAATTTGGTGCTCAAGAAGATGTAAGCAAACTAAAGTCTAGTGGTGTAAGGTTCAAAATCGCATGCTTTTTGGGGCAGGGTATAATTTTTAAAATATAATGTACATATTATTGTGATATACGTTTATTAATGTTTTATTTTCTGAAATTATAAGTCTTTTTTAATTTGTGTTTTATTTTCTCTTTACATTTAGTTTTTTTTTATAATACGAAAATATAGCAAACTTTTCGTGTCTAAAACATGCAACTATTTTTGAATATATGTAAAGAAAATAATATTAAAAAAACAAATGTAAAAGTCATATTTTATTAGGCGTAAAATATAATTCTTATATAGACAATTTTAATTACGTGCTAATATAACAGTTTTCTTAGTTAACTCGCTTAAAACACTAATAAGTTAAACGTTATTTTTCATACAACTATATACACAAGTATGAGCTGAATAAATACACAATTGAAAAATGTCCTTTTATATTTATTTACAATAAGATTCTCATAAATAATATTGTAAAATGAATTAACCTTATATTATATTAACAATATTATAGTTTTTATTGAAACCATGACTTTTTTTATTATTTTTACCTTAATCTGTGACTCAAAGCCTATACTGAAATATTGATTTTATAATTAAATAAAAAATCATGCATTTAAGGGTTAGCAGTGGTTGTTAATCTAAGAGTGGTAGAGCCCGCTTTAACATCTTCGCACGAATGGGTCGGCTCGCCTTAGCAATACCACGACCACACAGAAAACTGGCGTGAAGTGGAAGCAGTTCCGCGTAGTCTGATGAGTGTGGTGTCGGAGGCCGAATTTAGTCCCTTTCCCTTTCCATCCTTTTCTTAAGAGGTATGGATGGGAAGGAAAAGTGGATTTGGCGGTGAAGGAGACGCATAGTAAGGGGAAATGTCCTCTTTATGTGTGTCTCGTCCTCCGTCAATGAAGGGTAGACAGTGCATCTGCAATTGAGGATGTTTATAGGCAGCGGTCGCTTTCTATTTAGGTGGATCAGGTAGCCGCTTACTCGTTTGCCACCTTATATTAATAAAAAAACTACTACCTCTTACTTACTGCATTGTACTTTTATTGGACATTGCTACGAACTTTTTTGTATTTCTTCCTCTACCTTTCGTAGAAACCGTACATAGACTATAATTTGGGGTCAGATAGTATATCTTTTCATCATCAATATCATGATATATTACGTTATCATCAGCATCAAATACAACACGAAAAGGCGTGCCATTACCAAAAGCACCAATTTCTACTAAACTATCTTTGCTATAATCCAATTTGTAAATCCCACGACTCGCTGGCTGAATGAAATGCACTTCACCTTTTTTGTCTATGGCTAGAGAAAATATCTCATCTATGAAAAACTCGGCGTTCTTAGTGCCGTTCTTTAATCGATAAATAATCGATTCGCTCATAAAATATAAATCGTTCTTTTTATCGATTACGAAATCATCGATATGATAATTCGATAGTTGTGGGATACTTATCGATCTGTTTTTATCGTAAATATAAATACCTTTCGATTTAAATAGAGAGTAATAAAGTTTGTTTTTAAATTGTAAATGCCATATTGTTTTGTCTGTTAGTCCGAGTGATTTGATCTTTTTAGATTTTGGGTTGTAATTATAAATCCCAACTGTACCAGACATGTAAAATTCCCTTGTTTTTTGGTCGACAGCATGACCAAAAGTAAATGCAATTTTCGGGATAACTTTAAATTTTATATTATTTAAATCGAATGCTCCAGTATGGTCTATAGAGTGGTTTGTCTGGTAATGAAAATAAAGTATATTTGCGGTTGTATCAACCGCCAGTTGTCCGGAGAACTTGTGTGCAGTGAAGACATTGGAGCGGGTGTGGCAGATTCCGTCGAAGCAAGCGTGACAAGATGGCCGACGGTAGGGTAAAACACAATTTATAGTCGACAGTACTAATATTATTTTCATTTTAGTTCTGAAAGGGAGAGAAGGAATGATAGTGATCAATAAAATATTATTGTTAAAACAAAGGTCAGGAGGTTTTAGGAAAATACAACAAGGGAGAATACGATAAGGTTTTCCGCAAGGTTAATAGACGCCTGATATTAAAGTGATGTAAATAAACATGCTGTCAGAATTTACGAAAACACAACTTAGAATAGATTAAAAATACTGCTGAAAGTCTATCTACGTAAAAATCTAAGGTATAAGACGCAATAACAAATGTAAGAGGTATCTACATTGCGTGATAATAGAAGTCTTCAGTGTTATTAAAGTTGATTTTATTTGAATGTTCCGGCGTATTTCGTAATATTAAAATGTAAACTTACTTGAACTTCCGATCCGCCATTATCGCAATTGACAATTAAAAAATATTAAAAACAATAGAACATTTTTAATCTACATCCGTAAAGTAGCATTTGTTGGTTATGACTAAACTCTATGATTTCGTTACCAGCTGTTTTAACGATTGTCACCATGACGTTTTGACCTTTTGTATATTTTTATCATTAGAATGATTAATTATGTAAACAAGCTTATCGTAGTTACACATTAATTTTATTGGGTATAATTGTTTATCGAACTTGGGAGAAAACTTTGGAATTTTTTAAGATAATGTAATTTCCGTACGCTTTAATAAAATAAATAATAGTCACTGACGACTCTATTGTTTTCCTAGCTGTGCCCCTGTTCCATCATCTGCATGCATACATTTCTCAAATTCTCAATTGCCAATCTCATAATTACCGTTACCATAATAACCTTGCATTATTAATGTTTTGCAATTTGTAGTTTATGGTTGCTTTCCCACATGAAGGTTTTTCCAATTTAGTTATCCCCTAAGTTTAATAGCGTGATAATTGTAGCATAAAGCGTGTCGTAAGTATAGGGCTTATTATTTAAGAAAGAATTACTCAAAAATATGTTGTGATTGCTTACATCCTCCACTAGGAAGTAGTGTGTGTTTACGCTTTATTATATTAACATGGCAGTATTGATTAATGAACTAGTATACTAAACAACCAATGAATACTTTTCCGTCAGTAACAATGGCTACACAGAGGTAACTGTTCCCATTATTGAAGCACCCGCACAAAACACATTGTTATCAATAAATGTTTGGATAATGTAAACAAACATTCATACATCCACATTTCGTTTATTTTCATATATAAGGTGGCAAAAAGTCACCTGGATTTGCCTAATTATCGAAGGGACCGATGTCCACAGACACTTTTCGATAGAAGGGGGACAAAAGGGGTATCTCCCTTTCCGTGTCAATTTCTTACAAGAAAAGCATGTAAAGGGAAAATGGACTAGAATTAAGCCTGCGTCACTCAAACTTATTAAACGAAATGCGGAATTAGCTCCACTTCACGCTTAGCTAGCATACACATTCGGGCAACAGATGGCTTTACCACTGTTAAACACACACTTAAATGAGATAGGTTTTTAACGGGTACTTAAGTATATAAGGTCGATTTGCTGCAATTATTATAGAGAACTTGGAGTAATTGACATCTATATGTCGTAATATAAGTAAATCGAGTTTGCCTTTTTTTATATATTTCTTTACGTTATTCGAATTATTATCGATATTGAATTGTTAGACTCGCTTGGTAATTGTTTTATATTAATTTCTCACGTCTGCCTTGATTTCAAGGTTAAATAAAAAACAAAAGAGGTTTATGGTAATTTCTAATGTTTTCACAAATATTATCGGTTGAATATTTTGAAAAGCATTGAGTTTGTGGACACAACACGACTGTTTGATGATGCATTTCAAAATATTTAGATGTAGTAACGTGCGGTGATGATGTTATGAAAATGCATTTGTTGAATGTTTTAAATCTACTCAAATTATTTCAACATGGTTCAGTTACGTTCGTTTCATCATTCGACGTGTCTGTGCTGAACTGGGAACTCGCTCTGATGGTGAGTTTCGTGTTGATTTTTCTTTTTTATTACATTTACTTTTTTTACGTTAACAGCGGTAGTGCCCGCTTTAACATTTTCGCACGAATGGGCCGTCACACCGTGTAATACCACGACCACACAGAAAACAGGCTTGAAGTGCAGATGCATAGGAAGGGGAAATATCTTCTTTATGTGCGTCTCCTCCGTCGAATAAGGATAGGCATCTGGAATTGCGGATGTCTGTTGGCAGCGGTCGCTTCGCTTGGCGGATTCAGGTGGCCGCTTAGTCGTTTGCCAACATATAAAAAAATCATTCCATCCTATTAAAAGTTGGTTTTAATGTGGGTAGAATTACAAAATTTCTTTCAAATGTGGACGGTATTGATAAAAAATCCGTGACATTGATTTTAACAAGTTTTTTTTATAGGATTTATTGGCGATGACAATTATACTGGTTGGTTTAACCAACGTCATTGCGACTCCGTGTTGCGAGCACGGTCATGTGAGTATTTGTATTTTATTTTTAATCTATAACTCAAATTTACAAATAGTTTTTTTTTAATTTCAACTATACAAAATCAACTTAAAAACTTTTTAATAAACCTCAGTGGTTTTTCTAGTTCTTCAGTGGCTAGTGTATACAAATATTATTTCAGTTTATGCGTAACATTTCTTGTGTTAGGTATACATTTTATTAAATGTGAGGGTAGTTCGTTAACTAATCTAGTTTTAAACGACAGATGTATCTGATACACGCTGGAATAGGTTATTTCGTTACACTGACGAAACGAGAGTTAGTTGTTAATAATATTTTACATCGAATTTCTTACAATAATTTTATTGTATTTCAGAAAAATTGCACTCGTAAATTACGACAAGATTCACCACCGAAACTGGACCACCTTTCTAACAACGGGTCCAGCACACTAACATCGTACAAGAAGAGTACATTAAAACCGATCGCAGAAGATAAACTAAAGAAGGAAACCGCGACCGAGGGAAGAACGAGGAAGAAACTGAAGAAGTTAAAAGATAATAGAGAAGACTGGGAGGAATTAGTTATTGGACAAGAAGACGCGGAGGTGCTGGACGGTGCTATGGATAGAGAGGATCATGCGACGCATTATCTAACGGAGTTATTGGTTAGTATTTAAAAAAAAACTAAAAAAGTAGCGTTAGGATTGGTGCAACACTAGATTATTGACATATACGTCCCGTCCCTATCTGACAGCTGTCAGTGTCATTTAGAGGTAATGGAATAGCGCGCCATTGTGACGAGATTAGTAGCTCTGAGTGTTTAATTATGTTGTTGACTCTCATATATAGCAATACTAGCTTTCGCTCGCGACTCCGTTCGCGCGGAATTAAAAAACAAAAGTGAGTAGCCTATGTGTTCTTCCCGACTATTCTCTACATCTATGCCAAATTTCATCGAGATCCTTTCAGCCGTTTAGGCTACAAACTCTAACAAACATCCATCCATCTAAACTTTGCCATTTATACTATTAGTAAGATAAAATACACAGACTAGCCCTGGCTATCTTAATTCATCTCGACCAGCAGTTGATTTAAGGGGACCAAGCCGATGATTAAGGAGGGCTTGGAATATTTTTTTTATTTCCAAAGAGATAGCTTATCAACAAATCTAGTTATAAAGTGACAAGTTTTTGAATTTCCTATTTGGGTGTATTTTATTTCGCAGTAGTCTCAAATGTGTAGATTTTAATCAAATTTATTATGATTTTTGTTCACAGCCAATTCATATAGACGAAGAAAACGAGAGAATGGAAGATATACTACAGTTTTGAAGTTCTGAGAGAAAAAAACACATTTAGAATACTTTCAATTAAAAAAAGTATACATATTAAAAATCTTCAATAATAAAACAGGCCGGAATAATTTAAACAAAGCATATTTAATATTATTATAATTTGTAAATTAATAATGGAGTAATATTTTTTATTAAAATAAAACACTTTAAAATATACATTTTTCTTAAATAATTAAACACTCACTTTGTTAGTTATAAATCTAATTTTCGTCTACTTAAGTTTACTTTTGTGTAATTAATTTTGTCAAGAATTCATTTATGTATTACAATATTAATTAACTTACAATCAGGATTGTTAAGTTAGAACTTTACGGGTTTTAAGATCAATTTATTACTAAGGTAAATTATTTCTTATGTATAGTAAAAAATGATCGTTATCTGATCTTATATCTGGTCACTTAGAGGTCAGAAGGGAAGTATTGTTCCGTCGAAACTGACCATTTAAGATATAAATAAAATTAAATAGATTAATTTTAATATTTAAAATAATATTAGTAATATTATAACAATGTAATACATATATATTTCAATTCCTATTGATTTTAAGCCAAGAATAAAGTAATATAAAATTGAAAGTAATTGATTGCATTTTATTTGAAAAAAACAAAAGTGAGTAGCCTATATGTTCTTCCAGACTATCCTCTACGTCTGTGCCAAATTTCATCGAGATCCGTTCAGCCGTTTAGGCTACAAACTCTAACAAACATCCATCCATCTAAACTTTCACAATTATAATATTAGTATGATTTTTAATTAGAACTAGTGTTTAGAATACATTTTTTTTATTTTTGTTAATTGTATATATTTTAATTATGTGTAATTAATCTTACATGATTTAAATAAGTAAATGAAAAAAAAATAGATTAGTTCAGACTTTAATCCTTATCAATTACGAATTTAGAAGCTAAAAGCTCAAGTAGGCATGCTATCAGAGCCGAATATCTAAATGTTGACCATTTTCTAAACAGTTACAGTTTATTTATTTTTCGTCAGCGTGAAAATAAAAAAAATATAGCCTATGTTACTCAGTGATAACGTAGATTTTAATGATATAAGAATTTTTGTAATCGACACAGTAGTTATTGAGTTATTTCAATAAATACAAAAATACAAATCTTTCCTCTTTATAACAAATAGGTTAACAGTGAGGTGTCAAAATTAGGGACTTTGACCCAATTAAAAAAAAAAGGAAATAGAAACCGAGGTCGGGATTGTAATCCATCTAACGAGACTTTTTTAACCTTGAATAAATTAAAAAATTGGACCATTGCCAACTAAGGTTTTGTTGATGGTCATACAAAAACTGCAATTTTGTATCCTTAAAATTACAATATAATATGTATATCAGGTACCGATGACATAGCTATATTGACCTGCTCGTTCGAGGTCGGATCTTAATAGATTCGAGTCGTGTTCGGGTCAATACCATCCGTGCGGACCTCTGAATCACCGTCACTATACGAAATATAGACTGACCATTACTGGTTTGTTTACCTTATCATGCGTTCCAAATTTAAACAATTCCATAGACCAGAGGTTGACCTTTGTTTGGTCAGGGAGCATTTTTACATCGTTTAACGTAAAGTCATTAAAAACCGTTTTTGAACCGACTTCCCAAAAGAAGGTACTCAATTCGTCTGTTATTTTTTTAATGTGTGTTACGATATTATTCCTGCTCTGATTGACCTATTTTGATTATTCTTTTTTTAGTAAAGGTAGTGCTTGCATGTCGGTCCTATTATTTTGTTTAAATTTTGGAGTCAAAGACTACGCAGTTACCAGTTTACCTCTAAAATACGTGACGAAAATTGCGATCTTGTTTTCTTTGGTCAAATAGTTACTTTTTCACCTGATAGTCGCTGCACAAATGTGATATTTTAGACGATATCGATACGAATACTTTTCTGTGAATATTTTTAAGATCCAGTATCGATATCGCTGTCGATCAATGACTTATTGTCCCCCTAAAATTAAAATTCGCGGATATTTATGCTTTAGCGCTAATATGCTAAAACAAGTGAATTCCAAAATCTTTCTAGCAAAATTCTTGTTGAATTAAGTCTTAAGAAGCTTAGTTTTCTTGCTTTTCTGCAAAATAAGAGGAAGTGATTTTGGCAAAACGCCAATTGTCTAATTGGACCGCGATAAACAGAATTTGTGACCTAACATTATTATAATTTTTAGTTGACATTGGCTCAAAAAAAATTAAATCGTATAATCTGTGCCGTTTTATTAGTTTACGGCTAATTTTCTCAATTACTTATGAAGCTAGTGATACTTACGTGGAATTCAAAAGAAGTGAAAATTTGTATTAAAAAATTACCTTTATAAGGTTATACATAGACGTTTTTTTTAAATACATAGACGTAAAAACCAGACATTTTTGTATTATCAAATTAAACATCGAAATTATTAAAAAATCCATAGACAAGATATGAAATCAGTTAGTGAAATATTTAAAAAATAAATTCTCATTTCTATTAAATTCGACTATAGTTTCATGTACAAACCATTAGATTTGGCCCAAAACAACGCACAAATAATTCTATATTCCGTACTCTATCGAATGGAACCTACTCTATTGTTTATGGACAGAACATTGCCAACTGTTACGATATATTTGTTTGGATAAAAGCCAGAATGAATGCTACAAGATGTTTACTGTTATTTGACTGATCTATGTAGATTTTTAGTCTGTGGAACTTCTACATTAAAATTAATATGGTTGGATGTTAGAGCTTGTAGCGTACTGCTGAACGGATCTGGAGGAAATTTGGCATAGATGAAGATAGTCTGGAAGAACATATAGGCTGCTTTCTTTTGTTTTTAATTCCACGAGGACGTAGTCACGGGCGAAGGCTAGTAGTAAATATACGAATAAAGGTTCATCGTTTAACTGCAAATTTTAATCTCGGAAACATTGTTGTTTCTTCTTACCATAGATTAATAAAATGATTTTGTTCACATGTGACGGCATAGAATATAGATCTATATTTATTTAGTTTTACTTCGAATTATTGATCTGTATTGTTCAAAACCAAAGTCAATTTCTTCTATTTCCTTCTATTTACAAATTGTAAGAAAATAATTTACGTTTTAAGCAAGACCGCAAAACAAAATTTAATTTCAAAGGCGCTTAATTTCGATTTTAAAGATCCATATACCCATATACAACTTTACTCTTAAAGATATCTGTCTTAACCAAAGTCCAAAGTGCTTGGCAATTTGTTAAGCACGTGTGAAACTTTGCTCTTTGTTTTTTTATCTGTTCCCACATTCGTATCACGTTTGAAGGGAGGGATTTCCTGGAGGCTCTCAATGGTAGCGTACATTCAAAAATATTCGAGAGAATGTGCGGAATAAGAAATACGTCACAGGACAGGAAAGAGGAAAATCGTGTCGGTGGTGGAAAAAAATCATTACTCCGTTACAGGCCTTGTGTTTCGGAGAGGGAAAGCTTTGAGGAAATCTTTTGAAACTCTTCTAATGGTAATTTATGTTATAGTTACATATAAGTTTAATTTGAAATTTAAGAATGAATTCGATAAGAAATCGTACTAGTTAATTTAAAGATATTTTTGCACTTTTCAAACTATGTCACTTAACAAACAATACACGGAAAAAGAACTAGGTTAGCGCGTTTAAATTTTTAAAGTGTGACATATCTTGTTAGTTTAAATTTCAAAAAAGTATCACCGCGTTCCACGATTTTTTTTAAATTCTATGTCAACTGCCAGTTGAAAAATAGGTTGAAGTCGGATGCAGAATTAAAAAAAATATTTAGTAGTAACATCGTTCCAGCCAGTTCAAATCTGGAACGTGAAACTTTTAAGTGTTGCCAGTGTCGAAGTAGCTCGCAGCTAGATCAGCCGCAAGAGGGTATAATGAGGGCCATCGTGGGGAAAAAACCCTCACAGAAATGGGGTAAAAACTTCTAGCAACCGACCAATTAAAAATGTGTGGAAAAATGTATGAGTAGGCACGAGTGGATAATTATTTTTTTAAATTGTTTATGGCTGACTCTAAATTGCTGTTGTAATGTTGGTACAAAAGCAGACAAGATTTCAGAAACTACTACATGAATTACTGAGTGTTTTAAAAAAACCCAAAACGAATCTTTTGTTTTTAAATACATGTTGTGCATTTCTCTTTACGAAACTTTCATTTTTAGGTTATTAGACTTTTTTTTAATAAACTATAATATTAAAATTAAACTTCATCTTAATTTATTTTCTATCTTGGAGTATTCATCATACTTAACAGTACTTAAAAACAGATTTCATATTAATCTTTGCTTTATTTTCAGAATCAATTTCTCTCGAACGGAGACCCGTTTTTTTTAAATAAAGCAATACAGAGCAAATGTCGTACCATTTCTCAGGCTTCGAGATTTTCGTTATAAAAGTTGTGTGCTTCAAAGTTTAAGTGATTGTTGTACTTTAAAGGAAAGCTGGGAAATTGAATTCGATCTGTACTTACAGTTCATTTCTATCAAGAAAGTAAACTACGAAAAGTTACGAATTTATTTATGAGATTAGCAAAATAAACTGTTATAAAAATTTAGCGTGACGTAAACAAGAAAGTAATGAGATTAAAGGGATTATTCCCAACCGTCACCCCGCTCTGTCCCCACGTGGAGACACAGATGAGATTTGAGTTTCACCCGTCCCACCTTTCGCGACGAGGGGACGGATGGAACTTGTTTTGTTTCATAACGGTACCATCTATCTTATTGGTGATAGTGGAACAAAGGTGGGACGGATGAAACATTTTAATCTCACGTGGGGACAGAGCGTGGTGACGGTTGGGAATAATCCGATTAATGGTAACAAAGATTTTGAGATAGTTATGCTTAAGAAGGTAAGGGATTGAATTCATATATGACGGCTGATAGATGTAATAGAAGAGCACATACTGTGCTGATCTTTCGTAGCAAAAAGGATAGAAAGGAGATAAGGGAATTATAATAAAAGCATTTACAGAAAGATTTCATACTAAATGTTACGTATTTTTATAATGGTACCTTAAAAAAATCAATGAAAAACAACTGAATTCTCAACCTTATTCCAATTGAATACAGTCTTATATCAAGTGCCAGATTGAAGCGGGCGCACACCGTTGGCCAAACTATCGCATAAATCAGCGATTATTTTGAAGCCAATTCAACTGTTTAGTTGCACAACTAAAAATCGAGTGCATCCCATATAAGCTCAAAGGAATCATAGCGAGACGAAACAGTCAAAGGTGTGCGCACATTTCTTCTTTAGGGTTTTTTCGGCATGTGTTCGAAGCTATTAATATTGTTACCACGTCCCTTGCGTCTGTGGACAGTCTAATATGTTTCATATTGCCGAGTTACGTAGCATACGTGGTGTAACTTTTCGATTTCCTTATTACAGTACTGTTTGCAGTATGAATGATGTTTGTGGAACCTTCTAGAGTTTATCATATATTGATCTATATCTACACATATCTACTCGTATATCTATATGTTCTATACTAACATAATAAAGTGGAAACACTCACTACTTCATGACGTAGGATGTCAGCAATACCAGTATAGTTTTGAATAATTCTTCTTTTAATAAAAAGCTCTACACTTATGACACGCTTTAGGTTATTTTCATGCTTTTAAACTTAGAGGGTAAATAAATTGAAAACAAAAACCTTCTGGGGAAGAGACCATAAACTACAAGTTGCCAACATTATGAAGCAAGGTTATTATGGTAACGGTAATTTTGACATGCAATTGAGAATTTGACAAATGTAAAAAATGAAATAAAATATAACTTCATGTAAATTAATCCGCATGGGAATATTAATATTTGTTTATATATGAAAAGCATTACAAAGGAGCGTTAAAATTGGCAGTTTTTACTCACTTTTTAATAAATCTTTTTCCACAAAACAAAATATAAGGGTATTTTATTTTCAGTCAGAGCAAGTCGAGGTGTCCCGATATAAAATGTTCGCCTTATTAGCGATGAAAATTGTGAAGTTCATTAGCATGGCAGTGGTGAAAAGTTATCTAGGTTATTTGAATAATTTAAAACTTGCCAAATATTTTCATCTTTAACAAAATTAATTTTTAATAAATCAAACTACCTAAAGCTTAAACTATTAAATTAAAAATGTATTTATATTAACCAATAATCTCCATATATCTTTATATCTTATTCTTTATATAATACATTTTGCAAGATTTGATATAAAAATAAAATAAATACTATATAAAAAATAGAGCACCACCGGCTGCAAGACAGGAACCTCGTCACTATTCGTGCAGTTTCTAAAATAACCGCCTTTTGAATCGGGCCCTTAATCCAACTGTCTAGCGAGAGCTTCTTGAGGTGTTGGTCGAAGCTCTTCGCTATTAGCTAACTAATAATATTATTAAATTAAGAAACAACGCCTCATTTTACGTATTTTTAAATAAAAATAATCAATAAAATCTGTCCACTAGGAGCGGTGTTTAATTAAGATATAGAAACCAGAATTTTACACTTTCAAACTAAAAAAGTCCTTTGAAAGAGGGACACTTCTAAAAAAACAACTCACTCGTTAAAAGCGGTTCAGAGTTTAAGGCTCAGATGTCGCCAGGATTCAGAGATAACCTATTCATTTAGAGAATGGACGAATGTAAAAACTACTTCGAGTAACACCATTAAATGTGGTTGCCCTTATACGTAGCCTAGGGCTGTTGTCTATGGCTTAAGGTGGATAAACTTGAATTAACATACATATGTACATACAAACCCCTATTCATACAAAAACCCTCCTGAGTCAATCTCGCAAAAAGAACGAAAAGAGAATCTTCGTTTGGAAAAAAAGGGTCATCTCCCAAACAAAACGGCGTGCGTAGGCTAGCTATGTAAATTCGTAAGGTCGGCTTATGTTCGCTGTCTGAATTATAATTATTTAATGCATTGTCTATAAAAACCAACGATCGTCGGCAACAAGAAGCGAAAGTCAACGAAAATGAAGGTGATAAGTTGTGTTGTGTTTGTGCTGAATTATTGTGGTGTTTTGGTTTTTTAATCTATGATTTTAATTGCTTTATTCTTTGATATGGTTGCCATCTTTTGAACATTCCCCTAACTCCGATAAAAAAGTTCTTATAATTAACTGGATTTACGGTTTTTTAATTATTTATTATAATAACATTTCTGATAATAATATTAATTTAAATAATTTAAACATTAATTATATTAGAATACTATTTACGTTACAATACTTTTAAAAACATTATAGCGCAATACAATTATTAATTTTTCTTTATGTTAATTATAAACACAAATTTCAGCAATTGCACGTAAAATTGCAATGTTTTTTTTTACAAATTATTATCAATTTATAGAATAAATCTGAAATATATTTTCAATATCTTCGATAGATTTCGAGCAATATTTTTGAAATAATACTTCGTAGCGTGATTTTTCAGTTGACCTCAATCCGTTCCGTTTCCAAGCAGCAGTTTCAATTGATATATTATTTTTATTTACGAATTCAAATAAACTGACAAAGTGAGGAAAAAATGTGAAATGTGACAATTAAAAAAATCTTTTTAAATCCATCTATTCTTATAAACTATTAAAAAAAACTAACGCATAAACTGGCTTAATTAAAAAAAAGTGCTAACAAATTATCTTAGCCTATCTAAATATTCTTAACTCTATGTTATACTATCTTTGGTTCCTGTCTAAATATTCTTAACTCTATGTCTGTTGCTATCTTTAGTTCCGGTCTAAATGTTTTTAACTCTATCTATTCTAAACTCTATATTCCTTACGTCCAGGAACTGCTGATTGTTCTGTTGGTGAGCGGGGCCCTCAGCGAAGCGCCGGCGCCCTACGCGCCTAGCGGCTGGAGGCCTAGTGGTCCTGCCTTTGAACTGCCAGCTAAAGCACCCACACAGGTTTGTATAAAGAAAATGTTTAACTTAAGATCTTACAGCAATCACGATAAGAGCTATTATTTAATATAACAGTGGTAGAGTTCGCTTTAACATATCGCACTGTAGGCTTGTCTAAAGCAATACTACGACCACAATAAAGATAGCCGTGAAGTGGAAGTAATTTCAGTTTCGTCTGATGAGTTTGCGTGTCGAAGGGCTAATTTAATCCTATTTCTACACTTTTCTTGACGGTGTACGGGCGCATAGTGATGGGGTAAACTGGTAGGGGTAGTCCTAAGAAGAAATGGATGGATGATGACATGATGACATGATTAAGACCCTTCTTGAGTCCGTACTCAGATGATGAAAAATGAACAATCTAGGGATATGAAACCTAGTACCCGACTCTACATAAGTAGGAGGGACATGGTGATGATAATAATGATTGCATGTTGAGCGTCAAATTGTGTAAAGTCTTCGAATGAACATATTCTTTGTTCCAGGAACCGCAAAGACCTCAATATCTACCGCCAGTAGACCCCCGTACAAACAGACCGTTAGGTTTCGATCCTGCCGCCGATGTGTCAGTACAACGCTTGCCTACACAGGAACAGTTACCGATATTCCAAGTATCACCAATCAATGGACAGCAATACGTCGGCCCTAACTTTAACAGTGATATCAAAGGATTGGAATCAAACTTCCAACAATCTCAGGTATTGAAAACATTTTTTCTATGTTCGAAATAAAGTAAACAATATAAAACTTTTCCATTAAATGACGAAGTTATTGTTTTCGACAATTGTGTTAAGATACGTGACGTTTTATCTGTACACTACAAATGCAATCAAAACCAATATTATTTAACTAACTAGCTTTTGTCCGCGACTCCGTTCGCCTGTAATTAGAAAAAAAAAGTAGCCTATGTATTCTTACACACTATGCTCTACATCTACGCCAAAATTTATCGACATCCATTAAGCCGTTTAGGCTCCAAACTTTAACAAACATCCATCCATTAATAAGATTAGTAAGAAGTAAGATAGAAGGATTTTTTTACATGTCTATTAAAAGCTTCAAAGAATGGTATAAAAATTATAAATTTTAACAAACAAAACTTCTTATTTCAATAAATATTCCTGTGAGGTGTGTGTAGACTTTAAAAACACCAACGAAATTACCTAAATTACTTCAAGAATCACATGGTGTAACGAGCCTTGGAAACACGCATGTGAATGTCAACACGTAAGTTGCCCTACAAAGTAATTGAAGTAACTAGAGAACACAGGTGTGGAATATCTAAGCGTCTCCAAATTGACTTGATTAAAATTCAATCCTTGGTGTTGATGAATACATAATTAACTAGAGACGTGTTACCAGCAGTAGACGTGTGTCGTCACTAATTAACAAAACACGGTCAAATATTGCACTTTACTATGGCTTTAAAAACACAATTATACATTGGTACATAATAGTACTTCTATGCTTAAGTATTTTAATAATTCATCATTAAAGAGGGAATTAATAATAAATTCAATCAGTTCCAGCTTCAGGAAGAAAAAGCTCGCCAGTTGTCGAGACAGCAACAATACCCTGCTAGCCCCAATGCCGCAAGCGGTCTTCCAAATCCGCAACCACCGCGCCAATTCGCTCAAACAACACCAACCCCAACAACCAGTGCAAGACCTAAACAAGCCGAACCCACAACTGAATCCAACTTGAACAAAGATGAGAAATTAGACAAGGATGATCTACCAAAGAAAGCGAAGATATCAGTCGAAGTATCTAAACAGAATCTGCAAGAATATCCACCAGAATTCTTCTTAAGCTCGCTAGCACAGTTGCAGTACCAACCACAGTTCTTGCCGTTACAACAGTTCGGACAAATCAGGGAACAAGTCTTTTTCCAGCCTCAACAAGGTGCTCCAGCGAAGCAAACTGCTGGGTACGATGGCTCCACTCACTTCGCGGCACTTCCATCAGTTTTAGCTCAAAATCAACTCGCACCTCAACAACAAACTTTTATCCCAGCTCAACAACCAATCGTTCAAAAACCAGCTTTATTAGTCCAACAAGCACAACAACCAGCTAATCCCATAATCGTACAAGCTGAAGAACCGTTACCCCAATACCAACCGGTTGCTCAGTACCAACCAATTGCTCAACCGCAGCTCAACCAAGAACCACTGCCTCAATATCAACCAGTCAACCAATACCAACCGATTGCTCAACCTCAATTTAACCAAGAACCACTTCCGCAATACCAACCGGTTCCAAACCAGTATCAACCAGCATTACAAGCACAGGCACCTTTACCTCAATACCAACCGGTAAATCAATATCAACCGATCGCCCAACAGTACCCGCAAGCAACACCAGTGGTATACCAGCCCCAAACAAACCTTCCACCACAAAACCCAGAAGCAGAAGCTGTCGAAACCAACGAAGAACAACCGCAATACATCTATCAACAAACTTACCAACCTCAAGAAGTCTACCAACCTCAAATCCAAACTCAATACACAGCGCAACAAGGTTTCATCCCACAAAATCAGGCAAACTATCCTCAAGACTTGAATCAATATTACCAGCCTCAATTCCAGCAGTTCGGAGCAGCGCCTATAGTTCAAGGCCAAGATGCTTTACAGAGTGGTCTAGATGTTAGCAAAGAAGAGAATGATATTGACCAGGAAGAACAAGAAGAACAAGATGATGGTACAAAGGCTACCGCTGTAGCAACGGCTTTCGGGGCAAGGTCAGTAATCTGTATGCACAGAGAATGTCAATACGACATCGCCTATTGAATATTTATTAGTTGTATCAAAATAAACATAGCCTCGTTTTGTCATATAGGACGTGACTTTAAAATCAATTGATGACACATTTTTATGGCAATTTGAAGCTATTGTTACGCCGATTTACCTTTCTACGCTTCGATAGGTCGCACTTTTACTAAACTATCAGACAACTGTTGTGCGATTGTCGATTGTTTCGCAGCCAATTCAACTGTTTAGCACAACTGAAAATCGAGTAATGTGCAAGCTAATAAGAATAAAGGGGAGAATAGACAGTTATGCGAGAGTTTAGTCAAAGGTGTCCGCGCTCTTATTGTATTTTCGTTGTTATCCCTGACTCCTTGCAAGGGTCGTCTTTGAGTCCTGAATTGAACTACAGAATACAGAACATTCCTTCATTTTGAAGTCGTCGATTTTAAGATTAAATGTTTAATTTTCTTTAACAGTCGGCAACTAGATACTAATAACAGGTTTATAATAGGTTTAAAGCTTCTCTTTTTTCTAGCTCTGAAGTTTACGTAAATAAACACACTTTATTGTTCGAAAGGGATTCGTTAGTTCCTGATTTTATGTTAATTTTTAACACCATTGAACAAAATTTAACCGCTTGAAAGGTTTAGGAATTTTAACCCTCACTCAACGAGTATTTTTTATACAGTTCACAGTATGTTAATAATAAAATCCACTCATCCGTGTGACTTTTAAAATGAGGCCTCCCGGGTCACTTAATAATGGTCGGTAAACGATTTCTAATTTAGATGATTATGTTGGAATAATTATAAGTAATTCTCATACCAACATTTTATTCATAAAATTAAATGAATAGTTGAGTTTTTAATTTTATACTGAATAATTTTTAACACCACTTTTAATATTTAATAGCAAAGTTGCATAACTAAAATTTTCATGCATCAACATAAGACAAGATTGACTTCGCGCGGAATGAAAAATAAAAAAAAATTATTCTATACAAAATTCCAGAAATAAATCTATTACATACAAACTATCCATCCATTTACACATTTCTAAAATTAGTAAGATTGCTTTAATAGTTTATTATTTTTTATTTTTCAGAACTCAACCGCGTGTCTTTTCTCAATACGGTGTCCCTGCGTCTAATCCAAGAGACCAGGCCAACCGTGGATATCCAACCACAACGGAATCTGATGCCGAGGTTAGTTAATCTACTCCTTACTCTGTTATATTCACTTTCCCTTCTCATTCTTACCTTACAAGGAAGGGGAAGAGAATTTGGGTAATGATTAGACTAGTTAATATTGAAAAAAATACTAAAGAAAATAACGAATTCTTTTTACACTCAGATCCTTTCCCACCAAATTGTAAATTGTCTGATAACAATCCAATGTGTAATATCTGATAGAAGTATCAGATTATGTTCCCTTATGACAGTGACGTCATTTTTAAGCTATCTGTGCCTCTATCAGCCAGTGGTGGGACAGGCCCTTTAAATAAAATACTCGGTACCATCATTTATACGTAGGTTTTTAGGTACTTGTTCCCCGTATTTGTGAAAATTAATATTTTATTGCAAATAAAAACCAATTGAAATAAAAAGTTTCGTTCAGTAAATATTTAATTGAACGCAATAAGCTCTAAAGTGGCACTTTCGACACGAATCAATATGTTCAAGTTAATAACTTCAGAAGTGAGAACTTTTTTTCAATAGTACTTTGATAATTTTCATTTAAGGGTTTTTTGCACGTGTAAAATCAGAAGCAATCTTTTTTTTTATAACATAAGGTGGCAAATGAGCAAGCGGCCACTAGAATCCGCCAAAATGGCGAAGCGACCGCTGCCCATAGACATCCGTGATTGCAGATGCGTTGCCTACCCTTATACCTTCCTATGCATCTCCTCCACCGTCAAATCCACTTCCCCTTCCCAACCTCTCCTTATAAGAAAAGGGTGGTAAAAAGAAAGGGACTTAAATTAGGCCTAGGGATCTGAAAGGCAAATGCGTTATCTCTCATGTTTTTAGGTTAACTTTTGACTTAATATAATAAAAAGCAACATTTCATAACATTCACATGTAAATTATCGATGCAAAATAGATGTTTGAAAAATCCATACTACTCTTTCTACAATCGAAATTTCCAAATACTACATTCGTTTACTATTCAGTACTTTTAATAGTAAAGCTAACTTTTTTTTTGGTGACTGAATGGCCACTGTTTGCCTTGAAGAGGCATTTACAGATTCACCGGGCTTGAGGTGGCCGAGCGCAAGGCGCTTAGCCTAAACCTCGTTTATGAGTAACTGAGCTCGAGGGCTCCCTCAGGAGCCTCGGCACGAGCCGTTACTTCGTTATTATTACCGGATTGGGAGGCCACCGAGCTCTTAGATCGCTTCGGTGAACGCTCCATGGAGTGACTAGGCACAAGGGCCCCCAAGAGCGGACCTCGGCTTGGGCTGTCACTCAATACGCGTTTAGCATTCCGATTCAGCTCTTAGAATAAAATTAATTAAAGCACGTTTAATAGTAAAGCTAACTTCTTTGTATTTCTAGGAGACAACAGAAGAAGTTCCCGCTATAGCGCAGGCTACTGCTGTTGCAACGCCATCTAGGAATAGAAGCGCTAAACTAAGGTAATGCCAATGTCCATAATACGGCCACCTTATTGGGCGATACTATAATTTGTACCATATCACTGATCTCTACAAATGGATCGGTTGGAAATTATAATTTTTGATTCCTTCCGACTTAAGCGCCTATACCGTGAGAGTTGTATGTTCTGTTTTATTTAATACTAGTTTTCGCCCGCGATTCCGTCCGCTTGTGATTAAAAAAAAAACAAATGTTAGTAGCCTATGTGTTCTTCCAGACTATCCTCTACATCTATACCAAATTTCATCGAAATCTGTACAACCGTTTGGGCTTCAAACTCTAACAAACATTCATCCATCCATCTAACTTTCGCATTTATAATATTAGTAAAGATACTCTCACTATCGCTACAAAATGATACCGCCAGCGATAAAAAAAACGCTAATCAAATAGGAACAAAATAAGCCGGTCTATTAATTTAAAATTATTTTTTATTCCAGGAGCCGCCGCCCTCGGCCACTCTTCACCGTGGACAGATCAGGACATCTTGTACTGGCTAAAGATCAATAGACTATCTGTACTAATGACAATGCATATTTAACTATTTATTCCGTCTGCATTAAACGTTATGCATTAAATTATTGAATAATTTTTAAAATATTTATCATCTGTAAATATTTTAAAATTTATTCCTTTATTTAAAAAGCGTTGTTTTTACAGTTACTGAATCTTTAACTTCTATTTGACGTGTAAATTACTTCTCTGTGTACTTGTTACTTCTTTCAATTTCTTCTGACAATATCTTCAATAATAATTACCCTACAAAATGTATATGTTTTAATATAGTAGAACCTCGATAACTCAAACCTCGGTAACTTAAAAACCTCTATAACTTCAAAAAATAATATGTTCCCTTCCTATCAGAGCCCAAAGTCTACAACATAGACCCTTGATAACTTAAACCTCTATAACTTAAAGTATTTTGTGTTTCTTGGACTTTAACTTATCAAGGTTCTGCTGTATTAACATCTCAGACAGCCGAATACTGAAATATGCTAAATAAATCTTAAACACTGATAAGGCGCCGCTTACAATCTGTCAAATGTCATTATTTTAATGGAATGTAGAGTTTAAGCCTGACATATTCGGCCTTGAATGAGAGCATGCTATTGTACATCTCTTTCGGTTGTAGAAGCCCACAGATTTGTAGCTAGTCACATCATAATATAGAGGTCATGATCCCTTATAATTTCATGTATATTAAAAAAGCGTGTTTTCATTATAAATAAAATCCTGTTGAACTATAAACCGTTGTCAAATGTTCTAATTATTTATTTAGGAAAAATGATGTTAAAGCAATAAATATTTTTCATCCAAATTATTGTTTAAATTGAATTATGTTCTGTGTGTGACAATCAGCCAATTCAGACACGAGGTAAAACGTCCATTGAATTATTTAGCATAAAGCGTTTTTGATTTCTGTTACTTTTGCATTCGGATTTAAGGATTTTTTTTTAAGAAAATCGATTCTTTAAATTTTCATTCTTCCCGTGTTATCGATAATAGTACATAGCATTATCTATACTATTATAATAAAGCGTAAACACACACTTCTTTGTTGCCTAAGATGTCAGCAATTACAGCATATTTTTGAATAATTCTTTTTTTAATAAAAATCCCTACACTTATGTCACGCTTTAGGCTATATATTTTAACGCCATTAAACTTAGGGGGTAAAAAAAAAAAATTTTTGGATGAAAACCCTAATGTGGGAAAGAGACCATAAGTTGCTGCCAACATTAAGGAAGCAAGGTTGTCATCATGTCATGTCATTTGTTGTAATTGATAATTTGACAGATATAAACAATAAAATAAAATGTTCATAATTTCATGCGGATAAAGTCGCACGGGAACAGCTAGTCTTCTAATAATCTAACACTAATCTGTAGCATAATTTATCCATTTATCAATATAATTTAGAACAGAGTAATAAATCAGATAAACCGAATCATAATTAACGTAAATTAATCAATGTTAATTAAATAGACAGACAAATACATTGTACAATCAGTTATGTTGACAATTCATTAGTCAAATTTAGACTTGATTCAAGAGCTTTAGATCTAAATTTAAATCAAAAATTCATCTTAAATCTATAGGTCTACAATTTCCAATATTTAAGTTTAATTAAGGCTTTGGTTATTAAATTATTGTTAACGACTTGTTGCTCGCGACTTCGTCTGCGTGTAAATAAATACAGCCTATGTTACTCATTAATAACGTAGCTTTGTAGTCATCATCTCCCTTGCCTTATCCTACTCCCGTAGGGTCGGCGCACCGGGTTTTCGTCCTCCAAAGCACTCTGTCATCCGTCATCTCAGTCATCACGCCCTTCTTGATCATGTCACCTTTCACGCAATCCATCCATCTCTTTCTAGGTTTACCTCTACCGATAGTGGTAGGGGTAGACCGTAGCTTTGTAGTGGTGTAATAATTTTTGAAATCGGCCCAGTAGTTTTTGAATTATTTCAATAAATACAAAAATACAAATCTTTCCTCTTTATAACACTAGTATAGTTTATTACAACTAGATGGCGTTGTTCTTGATTTTAAAATGAGTTGATGTTTTTATTCTATTAGAAGCTGTCCCTCCGTGGAATTAAAAAAAATCTTATTATTAAATGCAATAATATAAGTAAATAGACTCAGTGTAGTAAAACCAAATAGTATATTGCTCCTGGGTCATAAAAGACAATAAACATCACCAATCACCAAGGTTTCATTGCCAACAAAATTACACCATAAAGTAGGAACAACACGAATAAAAACGACGGTACACTAATTATCACCAAAGCATTTTCTATTAAAAATCTAAATGAATTACGAATTATAGTTTTGAAGCGTTGTAGTTCTCTCTTTTTACCAGTTGGAATTTTAGTTAAAACTATCGGCGAATCTGTTGCAATTATTTCTAGTGAATGCTTTTTACTTGGCGCCAATCCACCTAAATTATCTATGGCTATTTTAGTTTCTTTCAATAGAGATTGATTTTTAGCTTTCTCTAATTTATATTTCTGCATATGTTCGTCTATGAATGAAGTACTAACGATATCACATTGTAAACAAGCATCGATTTCCAATTTTGATGGCTTTTTAGCTAGCAATGGTCTTCTAATATTTAAAACTTTTCCATGTTTTATACTATCACCGATCAGTTTAGTCTCTGCTTTTAAATCTGCATTTTCTAATGTCGGTAGATTTATTGATTTACTTAAAATATTTAATGATTTATTAACTTTACTTACTATTTTCTCACTCAAAGTATCCTCAAGTCTTTTAGCTGTGATATCAAGTGCTAATATAAGCGTTTCCCAGAGTTCATTTTTTGTTATTTTTAATTTGTATTCTTCGTGATCAAAGATATCTTCTGTACCGGACATTACAGATTTCATACATGTAACTCTAGTTAAATTTAATCTATAATCTTTTTGCATATTACTTTCTGAATATACATGTTTCTTTTTATAAAAATCTGGCCTTACATTAACACTGACTGTTGCAACTTCACTTTTATTTCTAAAGGAAAACTTTTCACTTTCATTATTTTTCTGTATACCTACAGTGTCTTTTCTATCCTCGATTTCTTGTTTATCATCTATAACAAGAGCCTTTTCATGTTGACGTTCAAATTTATTTTCTGATTCTAAATAGATTTGATTGAAAAAAGAACTAGAATTTATAATAAGGATATTAGGAGCATTAGAAGTCGTAAGTGTTGTTTGACTAATTTCACTTGCATTATAATTATTTGAACTTGAAAAACTTCCTTTTTTTGAATCAGATGATATCGAAAAGGTGGACGCTAATTCTGATACGATATTTTTAAGATTCGTCGCGATTGCACGATTTTCTCTTATCCCAAGATCTGAGTGATTATTCATTTCAAAAGGTTTACGATATGTGTTGAAAAGAGTTTTTATTTGTGCTGTATTCACATTAATTATATCACCTTGACGAAATATCGTCTTGGCACTATTATTCACGGATCTATTTACGTTTGCTAGAGTACATAGACTTTTAGATTCCACAATATCGTATTCCAGATTTGTATAACTTACGAATTTAATAGATTTCTTACTAGTTTTTGTACAACATACATCTTGAAGATTATCCGTGTCTGTTATATTTAATGCACGTGGAATATCATCAATTAATTTAGTAATCTGTTTAGACTCGTTTATAAATGTGTTCTTTTGATCTATATTAGATATGTCCTCATTTAAATTGATGTTTACAATTTCCCTTGAAATACTGTTATCGTGATGTTCATCTTTATTTTGCTCATTTTGTTTATTTTCTTCATCATTTTCTAAACTTGATGCCCGTCCGATTAATGTTCTGGTAGAAGCCGATGATAATTTTAAATTAATTACAGATTCTCCAGTTGAGCAACTTCCATCGACATCTATGTCAATGTTCTCGTTTATACTCATAATTTTTGTAATGTCTGATACTTTTTCTTCATTTGCTTCAGGTTCCAATGTTTTAAGTTCATTTTCTTTTACATCTGGCTCATTATCTTCTAGACACTGCATTTTATATTCGTATTGACTGTAACAAGACGATAATTTACCTCTTAGATAAATACATTTAAAATTTTCGTTTAGGTTTAAAATAAGATAAAATGATTTAAACAAGTTAACATTTTTATTTAAAACCAATACAAACATTACAACTAAAATCCTAAATCAGACAAAGTTATACTAAGACGTGATCCGTTTTTTCCGAAATCTAAAGATCTCGACAACCTATCGAAAGAAAACAATCTAGGTTTTAGTTTATCTTTGATAATATAAGTGTACAATAACCACATAATAACAATAACTGGAATCCATAGCAATAAGCAGTATAATGAACCTTCTTTAAAACCAATTGATCTTCGAGTACGAATTTTAATTTTGTTCTCTGTCGATTTATCATTGACATTAATAAAAACAGACGAACAAGAATAACTATTTGTATCATTGTCAACATTCGGTAAACATTTCGTACAATCGACTTCTTTATTTATACTTTTCTGTTTATCGTCACTAATATTAACAGAGGATTTATTTTTATCTGGTGTGAGACCTCGTGAAGGAGATTTATGCACTTCATTATCAAGTTTCGTAATCAATTCTTCGCAATAGAACGCTACTAATTTATTCTTGTTAGAATCAACTGATATATCGTACAGAGATTTACATTTGGGCAAAGAGCATGTTAGAGCTTCATCGGTGACGGAATTTAGATGAATAGCTTGTGCTGCTGATGTCATATCAGTTACTTTAAGAATAGTTTCACTGTCTATAATATTATATGAAGTACTTTTTTTCATTAAACGAGCTTGGAAGTCACGGATGTTTTTCTTGATATCCTTTTTAACTTTGATAACAGGAAGATTTTGGCACGATGGATTGTTAGTTATTTGAGTTTCTTTAGAAGGATGACGATATACTTCTTTTGGTTTTATTATCTCTTCTTTAGATGTCGTTTGAACGCTGTCCATGTTGGTACTGAATAATATCGTCTGATCGAGGTTAGATTTTTTATTTTCCGTTTTTAAATTTGTTGTCTTGAGATGTTCGTTTACAAATTTCTCAGCTGTTACTGCTAAATCTTTTATAATATTTCTGAGTTGGTAAACTTCTTGTGCTATTTCTAAATCGGCTGTCGTAGTTACTTTGCTATTAATGTCTTTTTTAGTATCGTAAGACCTTTTAAAATAAGAACTTCCGGTTTCCATCTTTTCTATTGTCTTTTTGTCGCTAAAAATTGATATTGGTTTGGGAGCACAATTGCAGCAATGTGTAATTTTAGCGCTGGAATTACATTTAAACAAGGAAGGTTTCGATCCACAAGATGTAATACTTGAATTTTCTGTATCTGTAGTACATTTTTGACAAGATTTATTAATTTCTGGGCTCATAGGGGGACACGACCCACCTTCTAAGGTAGGAAAAACATTAATACAAATGTCTAATTTGATATTTCTTTTACCTTTGTAAGTGGCAAAATAGTGAAACAAACTTTGTAGATGATTAACAAATTCACATTTACCTAATTTAGTATTTGATTTCTTGTGAACGTAACAAAAACGCTTATGTTTAATCTTATCAAAATCCACACAACTTTCGGCTTGCAGTTTTTTCTTACAACAATTTTTTTTGCCAAAAATTTTCCTCAGAGAATTTATCCGACGGATAACTGACGCTGTTTCAACTAAATCTTTGCGACATGTATTACATTTATCTGCATTTACAAAATCAATCGTTAGTAGAGCTGGACCTTTGTTATCGTCTTCCAATTTGCCATTAAAACATGCTTTGCAACTGAATGATTTCACTACTTTAGCTCGTTCGTCTGATTTGACGTTTACTATCGAAGTGTTATTGTCAGAAATCGTAAGACGTTTAAGTGGAGGTTTTGCTTTAGTCTGTGGAGATTGTGGTCGGGAAGGTTCGTTACCCGAGGCAGCGTTAGATGTTTTACATGGAGACATATTAGTTGAATTTTCACGTACTTGTTTCGCTTTTCTTTCTTCTTTCTTGGAAATAACTTCATCAGTTACTATACTGATATCCTTTTTCTCCACACTTTCATCAGTGCTGGTGCATAAATCATCGGTAAAGATAGTTTTAACCAAACTGGGGAGTGTATCTAAGGGTTGTCTTCTTTCATCTGGTCTCAATTTTCTATCTAAAGATTCTTCGTTAATATTAGTTACTGATGTAGAAGGAAATTTGTAATAAGAACTTGGAATGAAAACTATTCTTCGTTTCTTTCCGCTTCTCTTAATCATGTTCTTGTCTCTATAAGCCGCAAAATGTTTTGTCAAAGATTTCGTTGATATCTCTAAAAAATCGATACTCGATGAGTTAGATAATATTCCATTAGACCTGCTTAATGTTAGCATGATATTTTTTTTGTAGCATCTCTTTACTTTGGTACGTGAACGACACTTCTTTTTATTCATTTTTTGATGACAAGTGTGAAAATATCTTGGTACACTCAATGTTGAAATGATGGAGAAATGCCTTATCGCCATTGGTACGGTTATACTTGAAAATGTTTTCGACTTAGGTATGTCTATTTCACCTCCTCTTGATGAACAATCAATTTTTAAACTTTGTGAAGTCTCTAAATTTGAATCTGAATTTGTTTTCGAATTCGATTCTTTTATTCGTATATCAACTGTATATGTTGAACAAGAGGAGACATAATTATTCTTTCCTTCTAGTTTATTAAGCATAGAATCTAGTATAATTTGTATTTTCTTTTTAGTATCGTCGTTGTTAAACAAATAATTCTTTATCCAATCTCTTAGTAATTTGTTTAGGTTGTTAATGACTAGGTTTGTTAGATTTGCGTTAAAATCTTCAATATCATTGATGGTTATAGGCTGTTTACTATCTCCACAAGCGCTGCAATCTGTTTTAGATTTCTCAAAACCTAAAATAGGTTCCTTATTAACTGAATATTTAGATCTTGAATTTAATGTATCCTTTTTGTTGATTCTGTTTTTCTTTGCTTTGTAATACCTTCTCAGTACACAAAAGTCTGTCTCCATACAATGGTCTTTCATTGTTTTATCAGTGTTTTTTAATACATTGTGATATGAACTTTTATTCTTTAGTAGAAGGATGTTACTTTTTGCTATTTGTAAATTGCAAGGCGTAAATGTACGAGATCCTTTCAGTGTATTATTGATGGACTTCTTAAATATTGATTTGATGGCATCTTTATTCTTCGATCGATTGTCTTTGCCCATTTTCTTATTCTACTGCTCGTTTTCTTCTGGAAACAAAAACATTAATCCTCCACTCATCTTTGTATATTTCTTTGTTTATGGTTTGGTTTTGGTTTGGTTCAGTTTTAAAAGATTATAACTTAATACATTGAGAGACAAATTGTTATAAATAAGTTTGATACTAAACTAAGTATTTACAGCGATCTAGAAAGTTTTTATGTTGGATTGGGGGTCAATTGGGGGGGTTTCTTTTTTTTTAAACGCAGTCTTTTAAATACATTTTAATAAATTCTCTATTAGTCATTACGAAGTGGAATTATCACACGCATATATGAAAAACCAACCTTGAAATATGTATGCTAAGTTACAGAACGTAGTTTAAAAATGCTTAAAAAATCATGGATTTCTTAAATTAATATAAATACTCTAAGAAGATTACTAAAACATCGTATGAAATAGAAGCTTACCTCAAATTAGCAGAAGAAATATTATATTATGAATACATTTGATTTTCTCCGCATTTTTTAAAAAAAACGTTTACCAGCTGCTTTGAAATAGATTTACTTGCGAGAATTTATCTTCTTAATATTGACTTTGACATGACTGTTATTATTTATTATGTTTCATATACGATTGTCTGAATTGACATAGAAGTACGCAAGGAGTTCCAAACATCACTATAATAGGTTTTATTAAAAACTGTCTGCGTAGGATGAAAAAGTAGCTCATGTATTCCAGACTATCCTCCATATCTATGCCAAATTTCATCGATATCTTTTCAGCCGTTTAAGTTACAATTCTTACAAACATCCATCCATCCATCTAAACTTTCAAATTTATAATATTAGCTAGATGATAAGTCATCAACATCATCATCATCCACTAGCCCTTATCCCTTATGGAGGGTCGGCACAGCATGTGCTGTTTTTCCATACATCTCTATCAGCCGTCATATCTGAATCCACTCCTAAGTATAATTAAGATAAGTATAGGTTAGTTATGAATATGGAATACCAGTAGAGGTAGGCGTATAAAGAAATGGATTCATATGATCAAGGTAGTGATGACTGAGACGACGGATAAACTGGTGGCGCCGGATCTTTGGGAGTAGGCTAAACGGGGGAATATACCTAGAATAAACCGTGGATTCAAGGCTTTTCAATCGTCGTCTGTACATCAATTTCTGATGTAAGCATAAAAATTAGTTACATATTGTTCGGTATAGATAGCACGGGTTCGCCACATTCGGTGGCGAACATAATTTTGTATTTCGC